CCCATGTAATAGGGGGTGAGCCTATTGCTATTTACGGGACACATTTTCAGACTCTGTGCTACTACTCAGAATTTTTCTTAGTTAGTCAAAAAAAGGGGGTTAAGCTTTTTCCATATACGGGGCACATTTTCAGACTCCGTGCTACTACAGAGATTTTTTTTAAAAGCCCAGTAATATTTTGCCCGACCCCATAATCGAAGCCGAACCCGAAATAAATCAGAAGATATTATTAAAGGGGAAGAAAAAAACGATAGTTTTCATATCTCTCGATGAATTTAATACAGGAAACAAAAATACTTAAGCTTAAAGGTACATAAGTGACAGCGCAACTGGAAAAGGCCCAGTCGCCAACAACACAGAAATTTTAGTTATTTAATTTGACTTCAATTTGACCTCGACTCTCACAGGCTGTTGATTTAGATATATAATCATCCGATGATTATTAAAGAATTTTACACCAAACTGATGTACATTTGTTAATCTCAAAAAATAGAGGCTGGCTGTATGTAATTGGGTAGTTTCCAGGGTATCAAAATTAAAAATCCGTCAGTTAGATAATGAAAAAATATTAGACTTTTTTAGAAAAATATTAGACTATTAACTTTTTTATTTTCTCGTATTAAGTTGCAATACTTAGATAAAATGGAGTTAAGTTTAAGAGTGGGAGGTCGTTACGTCATAACGTGCTACAAAATGTGGCACGCTGTGACGATGTTCGAAACGTTGACGACACACGATGTTCCAAATTAATGCATCGTCCAAAGTATTTAGTTTTGTGAGAAAAGGAAAAAATACGTATCTAAAGTTTTAAATTAATGCACCAGACGGACATTAAAATAAAATTTAGGAAACTACCCTATTGCTGTTATCATGTTATGTTTACATGTGAACTAAAACATGTGACAAAAGTGAATAATAAACTCTGCGTTATACATAGTTCATTAATTATTAATTGTACGCAAAATTAAATTAATTAAGTAGGTATATTAATATTATTATATGTGTAATTTGCAAATTAGTACGAATGTAAATATTATTACGATTGCTTAATTCATATGTAAAGGAATTAATACGTAAATCGTTATTGGTCAATTGGAAAAAATGTTTCAATAAATATATGAAATACAGTTATCGTTTCATTTTATGCAGGAAAGGGCAGTGAATGTCAAAATATCCAAAATCTTCAGTGAGATAACATAAAAATTTTGTACTTAAACAATTTTATATCCTTAGTAATAAATATTTTAGGCTTTTAAGTGACGGTGTATACTTGTTAAGCTTTTCTCTCTTAAAGTACTGTACCTACCTGTAATGATAGACTACGATCGATAGATCTGGATAAAGGCAGATAAAAGTCAATTATGTTTTAGTTTTTTGGTAAAATTTAACTATGCAGATTAATACTTTGGAAAATTAATTTATTACCATTAGCGAATTTTCTTCCATTGCTGGATACAATAGGCCTTTACGATAGCATGCCACTAAATCCTATCTTTAAGTTCGTAAAAAACGTAAATGGGTAGATCAGCTACTGGCGTCCATTTTGAGGTAATTGATTATATTAAAACTTTCATGAGACATACTAAATAAATTATTATGTTTTCGGCTTACCCACGTAACTGTTTGACGAGGAACTCGAATAGTTTCAAGCCATGTTAGAGGCTCATATTCATGAGCAGCATTCCGCGACTTGCAACGCGGCGAATGTCACAATATGAGCGAACAGTTACGCAAGTAAGTCGAAAACATAATAATTAATTTAGATAATTGATGGCAAAAATCTAACCAAATCGCTGTCAAATAGCTAGTCAAAATCTGACATAAGCAGGTACTTACTCAAAATTTAAAGGGTCATCAACCGAAGCAGGAAATAAGTGGTTATTATTTATTAAGGTACCCGATCTTAAATTTTAAAGGTACCCAAGAAGTAATATTTACATTATGTTAGCATGATTTGTAATAAATTTTACATTTACTTTTTTATTGTGTAATCTTAAACTAACAATGGTTTGACATGAGCATCTTAAACATGTTCATGTATTAATATTTGATTAATAAAATCTCGGTAAAACCCTGACTGAACAAAAGTATTCAGTCAATAAAATTTTAACAGTAATCGAGACACAATTAATGTGTCCATTGCCTTTTAAGGGTTCTTTTCAAATATCCTAATTGGACTGCACCGTTATTAAAAACTGTTGTAAAAATTAAAATTCAAGTGCATGACAAATTGTGGTGAAATAATTTCGTGTTTTAAGGAACATGATTCAGGATTTTTACCACGTCATCAGTCAAATTCTATTACTGTTTCAGGAAAAGTATTATTATTATTATAAAGGTTTTTTTAAGGAATAATAATCTGTGAATTACTTCTCCCACCTGGGTGAGGCGGGAGGGAGTGTCAGACTCTAACTGACTAAAAACCACCCCGTTCCTACTCCTACCCTTTGAGCCGGAGCCCCGGTAAACCGTTAAGTCTTCCGCAGCTCCATATCAGCATCAGCTCTTTTGGGCCCCATCCGTGTCTATCCTCTTTGAGGCGCGCGCGGAACGTGACGCGCCGCACGCTCGGGTCTGGTTCTGGTCGGGCGGCGAGCTACCCATGCTCGCCGTCCGCAGGCTCGTGCTTACGGTGGCCGGACATCGTCCCGCGATCCCCGACGGCCGGAGTGTCCTTCGCGACGGCTGGGCTGTGAGGAGGCAGCGCTTCGTTGCCTAACGCGCCCCGCCTCGTCCTTAGCTAGCTTATTATAAAGGGTTTGGATTAGACAATACTTACTGTACTTAGTACTAGATGTATAGGTCAATAAAGGGCGCTATTATACAATTTTTATTAAACTCCATACCTAGAGGTGAAAAATAATGCCAAATGATGAATTCATAAATTATTCTAACACAAAAATCAATAAGCTAAACTTTTCAAAACATCCTTTAACTCGTCGAGTACCGTATTTATAGACACAATTAAAGAACAATAGGTTGCGGTCACCGGTGACCGCTTGGTGTTTGACAGTTTAATCTGCAGAGCTTTAAATTACAATTTCGTTGTTAATTAATTAGCTATGACAAATTGAACCACATTGTTTTGTTTACCGTCTCTAGGTGAACTCGGTGGACATTTTTGCGGTTTTATAACAGACAGATAAGAAACCACAAAACTACTATTATTCTTACAACGGCGCCTAAATTCTTCGGAACTTTATTCATTCATATTGTCACGTTAAGGCTTCATGTTTTCCTTAAATGATAAATATTAGGGTAATTACCTAAAACTGCAATACTATTGTTATATTCAAAACACATTGATAGGTTTGTGTTCGTAGAATTTGAGCTTCTATTATGTTTGTGAAATGTTACCTAGTAATTGGGCTTCCAGTAATATCACTTATACGACGAAACATAACACAAGCGTTGCTTCACGTCGATTTTTTGTGAGGCCGTGGTATTATTCCGATCGAGCCGGCCCAGTCGTGCCGAAGCATGGCTCTCCACATTTAATGATTTAACTTGAAAACTTTGCTTACTTGTGAACTTGTAAATCTACTGATGTTGATGGTGTCCGTCCAAGGCGATATTTGTTTGCTAACTATTCCTTTTAAGTTGCGTTTAAAAAAACCGACTTCAATCCCATCTTTTTTGTTTACATCGGTTTATTAATATACTAAAACCTTCTACTAAGTGTAACAAACACTTTTTAGATTTTCCTTCTTATTTGTTTGTAGTCGATTAAAAATCAATTAATTTTGCACCAATAGCTAACCTGCTAATAATTAAAATAATATTTTTTATTATTATTATTTTGTTCGTCCTTTTTTTCTTGGAGCTTCGGAACTATAGTAAAAAATTAAGACATGTTAGCCGAATGAAAACAATGAGTACTGTGGCAGACCATTTCTTAAGTTTTTATTGAGCATTATCAGAACCGACATCAATTATCAATAGAGGATGGAAAGACGATAATGCAAGGTCTGTTAACATTGGTACACAAACCTTTGTTAACATTGGATGTCAAAATTTAGGCGCCTACAACTTATAAACGGTTTTTAACATAGATTAAAAACACATTTACAGTCACTATAAAAAAGTAACGCTTTTAGTACAAAAGTAAATAATGTACTTTAGAAACTAATAAAAGAAAAGTTTTAAGTTTTTCTTACTTGACAACGCAATAAAAACTAAACTCTATTACTCAATATTACAGTTATTTAGTTTAACACTCATGTAAGAGCTTACTAAGAAACTAAGTTTACATGGCAATTAACTGATTACATTTATACGGTACAGTAAAAGTTGGATTTTTATAATAGAAGAAGTGTGGGAGAGCCATGCTTCGGCACGAATGGGCCGGCTCGACCGGATTGATACAACGGCCTCACAGAAAACCGACGTGAAACAACGTTGTGTTGTGTTTCGTCGTGTGACTGAGGTTACCGGAGGCCCAATAACCCTCCCCTTCCCCAATCTTCCCAATTCCTGAATCCCCAATGATCAATCCTCAAACTCCTAATCCCTAAAAGACCGGTAACGCACTTGTAACGCCTTTGGTGTTCCAGGTGTCCATGGCGACGCCGATTGCTTACCATCAGGTGATCCGACTGCTCGTTTACCGGATTATGCCATAAAAAAATCTCCACATTTAGCCTTTAAACGCCGATAAAATTTCTGCTAGCGTCGGACATCATAGTCCGACACGGCATCCAATGTGTTAAATCAAAAATTTCAAACTTTGTCAGCGATACTGATTTTAAGAATAACCGCTAGAAACACGAGCCAAATAATATAAAAAAACTGTGAAGTGATCTTATAACATATTATTATTCAGTTTTTGTGTCAAAACAAATATCGTTGATCGAGATTTGTCATCACACGAGCGTATTTCAAAGTTACTTTTTGTGTTCACATGACAATTTATACGCGTCAATACACTTTTGACACTGAATATACTTAAAGGGATCTACCTACATTCGATTATGAGTAATATTATACATTGTAATTTTTTCTTTTTTTATTGAATAAGCCGGTAAACGAGCAAACGAATCACCTAATGGTATATAAAAATTGATGCGACGTCGCCTATTACCACCTGGAACACCAGAGTCGTTACAATTGCGTTACCAGCCTTTTGGGGATTAGGAATTTGAGGATTCTTGGGGATTTAAGGATTAGGGAGATTGGGGAAGAGGGGAGGGGGAGGGGGTAATTGGGCCTCTGTAACCTCATTTACATGACAAAATGCAAAGCAAATCTGTTTGGATCGTCTTTTAATCCCCAAAAGGCAATCGATGTAGCCCATGAACACCTGAAACACCAATGGCGTTACAATTGCGTTACCAGCCTTTTGGGGATTAGGAATTTGAGGATTCTTGGGGATTTAAGGATTAGGGAGATTGGGGAAGAGGAGAGGAGGGGGGGTGTTATTGGGCCTTCGGTAACTTCATTTACATGCCGAAACACAACGCAAATCTGTTTGGATCATCTTTTTATGTATTAAAATTACTTGTTCATAGGATTATTTTGTTACATGAAGAAATTGACTGGTTTGCTAGAGGCGTAATAGATGTTATCTATGAATTAGTATTTTTATCTCTTTGGAGAATTTTATAGACTATCATTATTATTGTGAACACAACGGTTACATTGTAATTATGACTGTTCAACGCTTGATACATCTTGATACATAATTTATCAATTATTATAGGTACACTACCTACATGTAACGCGTTTAAGCTCCTGAACGGTTTTGTTTTGAAAAGTATTTTCTAATTGATTCTTTTAAATCAGGATCACATACAACAAAACATAGTTTAATAAACTAAACTATTTCGTAAGCAATTAGATAGATTAGATGAAGACGCTTAGTCGCATCTTCTATATTGTACGTTTGAACGAGTTATTTAATACTATTTCTAAAATTTATAAGACTGACAGTCCGTTACCTAGACCCATACTCCGTCCTACAGTATTATAAAGTTTACCAGCCCAGATCTCAGAGGCATTAACAAATAAACTACGGGCTAAATATAGCAGTAGTGGACAAAGGTTGTGGAGAAGGTGACACCTCATTAGGTCACAACCTTCAGTATTAAGGAACATAAATAATTTAAAAATGTTCTCCAATGACATAATTGTTTCCATTTGTAAGGATTTTTTGGTTATTGAAGCGATTTTACGTTAACATCAGAACTGTTTTTATATTAAGTAGAGATGGAATTACAGAACACCCACTTTAGTGGTCATAATAGGCAGGAAACGTAGTCGGTATGTATTTTAGACTTTATAGTAAACTTGAAAATTAAAAAGTTTTTTTTTAATGGGGGATAATCATTCAATGACTGCTCTCGAAGTTGGCGACGCGAGGGAGTGTCAGACTCTTACTGACTAAAAACCACCCCGTTCCTACTTCTGCTCTTCAGCGCCTCGGCAACCCGTTGAGTTTTTTGCGGCTCCGTATTGGCATCACTTATAATGTGCCCCATCTGTAGTGGAAACCAAGAAGTCCTACAACGGAATCATACTCCTGTATTTAGCAGCCTATTTAGCCACGTCATAAAGAAGACAGTCAGGTAGACAAAAAGACAATAATTTCAAATCACCCTGTAAATATTCGAATGATTAATAAGTAAGCCACAAAAGTGCATTGCACTAATTGAACGATAAAACCCAATGGCTCATTTTTTAAGAACTTGTGTATCATCAAGTAGTTTGTCAATAAAATATTGGTTACAAAACATATTATTTGAATCGTTTCTGAACCACGTCAATGAGGATTTAGACAAACATTATGATACTTAGATGGGCTCTTCAGTTTCGTTTTTTCTCCAATAAAATATTATAAATTATTGTTTTAATTTCTTATACTAATATTTGATCAAATGTTCACGTTTTTAGAGTTGTGTTTGTAGCTTTTTTTGTCCAAATACATTATTTATTTCCATGAGATGCATTCGATTTTGGAGTGTAATGACCTGTACTGCGTCCATCGTTCTAGATAATGGAAACCTGAATGCCGAATCTGGAGTGCATTGTAATGTTATTCCGTTAACTTATTTATAACGTATTTAAATGTTAAATAACCTGCGTTCCCTAAAATACTTTGATTGTATACATATTTCTGTTGTGATACAAAATACTTTTAGGAACTCGACTTCTTCAACGGCACGCTGTGACGATGTTCGAAACGTTGACGACACACGATGTTCCAAATTAATGCATCGTCCAAAGTATTTAGTTTTGTGAGAAAAGGAAAAAATACGTATCTAAAGTTTTAAATTAATGCACCAGACGGACATTAAAATAAAATTTAGGAAACTACCCTATTGCTGTTATCATGTTATGTTTACATGTGAACTAAAACATGTGACAAAAGTGAATAATAAACTCTGCGTTATACATAGTTCATTAATTATTAATTGTACGCAAAATTAAATTAATTAAGTAGGTATATTAATATTATTATATGTGTAATTTGCAAATTAGTACGAATGTAAATATTATTACGATTGCTTAATTCATATGTAAAGGAATTAATACGTAAATCGTTATTGGTCAATTGGAAAAAATGTTTCAATAAATATATGAAATACAGTTATCGTTTCATTTTATGCAGGAAAGGGCAGTGAATGTCAAAATATCCAAATCTTCAGTGAGATAACATAAAAATTTTGTACTTAAACAATTTTATATCCTTAGTAATAAATATTTTAGGCTTTTAAGTGACGGTGTATACTTGTTAAGCTTTTCTCTCTTAAAGTACTGTACCTACCTGTAATGATAGACTACGATCGATAGATCTGGATAAAGGCAGATAAAAGTCAATTATGTTTTAGTTTTTTGGTAAAATTTAACTATGCAGATTAATACTTTGGAAAATTAATTTATTACCATTAGCGAATTTTCTTCCATTGCTGGATACAATAGGCCTTTACGATAGCATGCCACTAAATCCTATCTTTAAGTTCGTAAAAAACGTAAATGGGTAGATCAGCTACTGGCGTCCATTTTGAGGTAATTGATTATATTAAAACTTTCATGAGACTAAATAAATTATTATGTTTTCGGCTTACCCACGTAACTGTTTGACGAGGAACTCGAATAGTTTCAAGCCATGTTAGAGGCTCATATTCATGAGCAGCATTCCGCGACTTGCAACGCGGCGAATGTCACAATATGAGCGAACAGTTACGCAAGTAAGTCGAAAACATAATAATTAATTTAGATAATTGATGGCAAAAATCTAACCAAATCGCTGTCAAATAGCTAGTCAAAATCTGACATAAGCAGGTACTTACTCAAAATTTAAAGGGTCATCAACCGAAGCAGGAAATAAGTGGTTATTATTTATTAAGGTACCCGATCTTAAATTTTAAAGGTACCCAAGAAGTAATATTTACATTATGTTAGCATGATTTGTAATAAATTTTACATTTACTTTTTTATTGTGTAATCTTAAACTAACAATGGTTTGACATGAGCATCTTAAACATGTTCATGTATTAATATTTGATTAATAAAATCTCGGTAAAACCCTGACTGAACAAAAGTATTCAGTCAATAAAATTTTAACAGTAATCGAGACACAATTAATGTGTCCATTGCCTTTTAAGGGTTCTTTTCAAATATCCTAATTGGACTGCACCGTTAAAAAACTGTTGTAAAAATTAAAATTCAAGTGCATGACAAATTGTGGTGAAATAATTTCGTGTTTTAAGGAACATGATTCAGGATTTTTACCACGTCATCAGTCAAATTCTATTACTGTTTCAGGAAAAGTATTATTATTATTATAAAGGTTTTTTTTAAGGAATAATAATCTGTGAATTACTTCTCCCACCTGGGTGAGGCGGGAGGGAGTGTCAGACTCTAACTGACTAAAAACCACCCCGTTCCTACTCCTACCCTTTGAGCCGGAGCCCCGGTAAACCGTTAAGTCTTCCGCAGCTCCATATCAGCATCAGCTCTTTTGGGCCCCATCCGTGTCTATCCTCTTTGAGGCGCGCGCGGAACGTGACGCGCCGCACGCTCGGGTCTGGTTCTGGTCGGGCGGCGAGCTACCCATGCTCGCCGTCCGCAGGCTCGTGCTTACGGTGGCCGGACATCGTCCCGCGATCCCCGACGGCCGGAGTGTCCTTCGCGACGGCTGGGCTGTGAGGAGGCAGCGCTTCGTTGCCTAACGCGCCCCGCCTCGTCCTTAGCTAGCTTATTATAAAGGGTTTGGATTAGACAATACTTACTGTACTTAGTACTAGATGTATAGGTCAATAAAGGGCGCTATTATACAATTTTTATTAAACTCCATACCTAGAGGTGAAAAATAATGCCAAATGATGAATTCATAAATTATTCTAACACAAAAATCAATAAGCTAAACTTTTCAAAACATCCTTTAACTCGTCGAGTACCGTATTTATAGACACAATTAAAGAACAATAGGTTGCGGTCACCGGTGACCGCTTGGTGTTTGACAGTTTAATCTGCAGAGCTTTAAATTACAATTTCGTTGTTAATTAATTAGCTATGACAAATTGAACCACATTGTTTTGTTTACCGTCTCTAGGTGAACTCGGTGGACATTTTTGCGGTTTTATAACAGACAGATAAGAAACCACAAAACTACTATTATTCTTACAACGGCGCCTAAATTCTTCGGAACTTTATTCATTCATATTGTCACGTTAAGGCTTCATGTTTTCCTTAAATGATAAATATTAGGGTAATTACCTAAAACTGCAATACTATTGTTATATTCAAAACACATTGATAGGTTTGTGTTCGTAGAATTTGAGCTTCTATTATGTTTGTGAAATGTTACCTAGTAATTGGGCTTCCAGTAATATCACTTATACGACGAAACATAACACAAGCGTTGCTTCACGTCGATTTTTTGTGAGGCCGTGGTATTATTCCGATCGAGCCGGCCCAGTCGTGCCGAAGCATGGCTCTCCCACATTTAATGATTTAACTTGAAAACTTTGCTTACTTGTGAACTTGTAAATCTACTGATGTTGATGGTGTCCGTCCAAGGCGATATTTGTTTGCTAACTATTCCTTTTAAGTTGCGTTTAAAAAAACCGACTTCAATCCCATCTTTTTTGTTTACATCGGTTTATTAATATACTAAAACCTTCTACTAAGTGTAACAAACACTTTTTAGATTTTCCTTCTTATTTGTTTGTAGTCGATTAAAAATCAATTAATTTTGCACCAATAGCTAACCTGCTAATAATTAAAATAATATTTTTTAATATTATTATTTTATTCGTCCTTTTTGTCGTGGAGCTCCGGAACTATAGTGAAAAATTAAGGCATGTTAGCCGCTTGAAAACTATGAGTACTATGGCAGATCATTTCTTAAGTTTTTATTGAGCATTATCAGAACCGACATCAATTATCAATAGAGGATAAAAAAGATGATGATGCAAGGTCTGTTAACATTGATACACAAACCGTTGTTAACATTGAATGTCAAAATTTAGGCGCCTAAAACTTATAAACGGTGTTTAACATAGATTAAAAACACATTTTCAGTCACTAAAAAGTAACGCTTTTAGTACAAAAGTAAATAATCTACATTAGAAACTAATAAAAGAAAAGTTTTAAGTTTTTCTTACTTAACAACGCAATAAAAACTAAACTTTATTGCTTAATATTACGGTTTAATACTCATGTAAGAGCTTATTAAGAAACTAAGTTTTCATGGCAATTAACTGATGACATTTATATGGTACAGTCAAAGTTGGATTTTTATAATAGAAGAAGTGTGGGAGAGCCATGCTTCGGCACGAATGGGCCGGCTCGACCGGATTGATACAACGGCCTCACAGAAAACCGACGTGAAACAACGTTGTGTTGTGTTTCGTCGTGTGACTGAGGTTACCGGAGGCCCAATAACCCTCCCCTTCCCCAATCTTCCCAATTCCTGAATCCCCAATGATCAATCCTCAAACTCCTAATCCCTAAAAGACCGGTAACGCACTTGTAACGCCTTTGGTGTTCCAGGTGTCCATGGGCGACGCCGATTGCTTACCATCAGGTGATCCGACTGCTCGTTTACCGGATTATGCCATAAAAAAATCTCCACATTTAGCCTTTAAACGCCGATAAAATTTCTGCTAGCGTCGGACATCATAGTCCGACACGGCATCCAATGTGTTAAATCAAAAATTTCAAACTTTGTCAGCGATACTGATTTTAAGAATAACCGCTAGAAACACGAGCCAAATAATATAAAAAAAACTGTGAAGTGATCTTATAACATATTATTATTCAGTTTTTGTGTCAAAACAAATATCGTTGATCGAGATTTGTCATCACACGAGCGTATTTCAAAGTTACTTTTTGTGTTCACATGACAATTTATACGCGTCAATACACTTTTGACACTGAATATACTTAAAGGGATCTACCTACATTCGATTATGAGTAATATTATACATTGTAATTTTTTCTTTTTTTATTGAATAAGCCGGTAAACGAGCAAACGAATCACCTAATGGTATATAAAAATTGATGCGACGTCGCCTATTACCACCTGGAACACCAGAGTCGTTACAATTGCGTTACCAGCCTTTTGGGGATTAGGAATTTGAGGATTCTTGGGGATTTAAGGATTAGGGAGATTGGGGAAGAGGGGAGGGGGAGGGGGTAATTGGGCCTCTGTAACCTCATTTACATGACAAAATGCAAAGCAAATCTGTTTGGATCGTCTTTTAATCCCCAAAAGGCAATCGATGTAGCCCATGAACACCTGAAACACCAATGGCGTTACAATTGCGTTACCAGCCTTTTGGGGATTAGGAATTTGAGGATTCTTGGGGATTTAAGGATTAGGGAGATTGGGGAAAAAGAGAGGAGGGGGGGGGGTGTTATTGGGCCTCTGGTAACTTCATTTACACAACGAAACACAAAGCAAATCTGTTTGGATCGTCTTTTTATGTATTAAAATGACTTGTTCATAGGATTATTTTGTTACATGAAGAAATTGACTGGTTTGCTAGAGGCGTAATAGATGTTATCTATGAATTAGTATTTTTATCTCTTTGGAGAATTTTATAGACTATCATTATTATTGTGAACACAACGGTTACATTGTAATTATGACTGTTCAACGCTTGATACATCTTGATACATAATTTATCAATTATTATAGGTACACTACCTACATGTAACGCGTTTAAGCTCCTGAACGGTTTTGTTTTGAAAAGTATTTTCTAATTGATTCTTTTAAATCAGGATCACATACAACAAAACATAGTTTAATAAACTAAACTATTTCGTAAGCAATTAGATAGATTAGATGAAGACGCTTAGTCGCATCTTCTATATTGTACGTTTGAACGAGTTATTTAATACTATTTCTAAAATTTATAAGACTGACAGTCCGTTACCTAGACCCATACTCCGTCCTACAGTATTATAAAGTTTACCAGCCCAGATCTCAGAGGCATTAACAAATAAACTACGGGCTAAATATAGCAGTAGTGGACAAAGGTTGTGGAGAAGGTGACACCTCATTAGGTCACAACCTTCAGTATTAAGGAACATAAATAATTTAAAAATGTTCTCCAATGACATAATTGTTTCCATTTGTAAGGATTTTTTGGTTATTGAAGCGATTTTACGTTAACATCAGAACTGTTTTTATATTAAGTAGAGATGGAATTACAGAACACCCACTTTTAGTGGTCATAATAGGCAGGAAACGTAGTCGGTATGTATTTTAGACTTTATAGTAAACTTGAAAATTAAAAAGTTCCTTTTTTTAATGGGGGATAATCATTCAATGACTGCTCTCGAAGTTGGCGACGCGAGGGAGTGTCAGACTCTTACTGACTAAAAACCACCCCGTTCCTACTTCTGCTCTTCAGCGCCTCGGCAACCCGTTGAGTTTTTTGCGGCTCCGTATTGGCATCACTTATAATGTGCCCCATCTGTAGTGGAAACCAAGAAGTCCTACAACGGAATCATACTCCTGTATTTAGCAGCCTATTTAGCCACGTCATAAAGAAGACAGTCAGGTAGACAAAAAGACAATAATTTCAAATCACCCTGTAAATATTCGAATGATTAATAAGTAAGCCACAAAAGTGCATTGCACTAATTGAACGATAAAACCCAATGGCTCATTTTTTAAGAACTTGTGTATCATCAAGTAGTTTGTCAATAAAATATTGGTTACAAAACATATTATTTGAATCGTTTCTGAACCACGTCAATGAGGATTTAGACAAACATTATGATACTTAGATGGGCTCTTCAGTTTCGTTTTTTCTCCAATAAAATATTATAAATTATTGTTTTAATTTCTTATACTAATATTTGATCAAATGTTCACGTTTTTAGAGTTGTGTTTGTAGCTTTTTTTGTCCAAATACATTATTTATTTCCATGAGATGCATTCGATTTTGGAGTGTAATGACCTGTACTGCGTCCATCGTTCTAGATAATGGAAACCTGAATGCCGAATCTGGAGTGCATTGTAATGTTATTCCGTTAACTTATTTATAACGTATTTAAATGTTAAATAACCTGCGTTCCCTAAAATACTTTGATTGTATACATATTTCTGTTGTGATACAAAATACTTTTAGGAACTCGACTTCTTCTTATCCATTTACCCAGTTTATTCTGCTTAGAGAAAACACTGTTCCTTTCCCAGAAATAATTAATACAGAATTTACTACAGAGCGTATACATGTACGTATCTTATTTAAGGTTCTAAAGTCCTAACACTAATTTCTTTACTTTATATTTTATACAACTCATTAGTGACATAGAATGCGCTTTGAAATCAGAGTTCATCTAAGGTTCATCTCGATTCAGCTTTGCCTAATATCTGCAAAGGACATTAAGCTCAAGATATTAGGCAATTTGGCTGCTTTGATGAAATAAAATTGTTATATTTATTCGAAGAAAGATTTGAAAATGATAACATTCCTTAAATAGCCTAATGGAACATTCTGAGGTTAATGCCATATGAATTTTGAACTCCAATTATTTCATGACAAGATGAATCGTACCGAACTATAATGAAATCAGTCTGATGTCGTAAAAATGCAATTATGGATTCTTAATATTGCAGCGAATAACAAAACAAGATCCTAATACTGATTTCTTCGTCGAATAAAAATTGATTGAGTTAAGTTACTGTTGGTATGGTTACGATCAAATTTTTACGATTATCGATATCTGCAATTCTTAACCAAAATATCAGATGATATCGAGTATGTATCGATTAACGTTCGAATACAAGTTTTGGTCATTGACTGATATACAACATTGTTGTGACTAGGTACTTATTGATACTCGGTATCATTATTTCTCATAACTTTTCTACAAGTAGCGACTACCACCAAATAGAATGATATAACAAGAAGTATGGTTAGACTTGTCAAACTTTTGAGCTTCTGACTACTCATAACGATGCACTACTCTCGTGTCACAACAGGGACTGACGACTGCTTCACGTGTCACTCATCTTCATATGAGCCTTGCTATCCTAGCAAAGCTTCTCGTGATTGTAAAATAGTCACGAACTCTTTATGTACGTAAACATACAAAATATATAAAATAAATGACTTAACTCCGAAAGATGTTCTTCTCAATGTTATTGAAGTGACTCAGTAGTATATATAATGTTGTAACTACATAATTTTGGCCGTTCGCAATGTCACGTCGCGTCGTCGCTTCAACAATTTATGTTTGTCTCAAAACCAAGTTTGACAAATTAAACAAAATCTTAATAAATTAAGAATTTCATCGTCTTCCAATATTGGGTAGGCGGAAAGAACCGTCGATGTTTTAATGACTATTTTATTGATTGCCATCAATTTGGGTTTACTTTTATTGTTGGAGCAGGTGCCTGGACAGGTTTCGTCAGAAGCTGCCTGAACGTTGGCGATGTGATCAAACCTGAGCTCGCCAGTTTATTGGGGTGCATTGGCACTTTGGAAAAAAAAATAAACCTACCAACGGAATGCGACCTTCGCGATCGTCCTTACTCGAGATTTTGGCACCGTGTGTCGCGCCCACCAACCATGACATTTATTTTAAACTCTTCCTCCTTTTTTCTATATGCAGCTTACACTAAATTTAGGGTTCTGCCCTCTAAAAAGTAAAAGACTCCACTGAACTCGAACAAGAGTGTTGATGAACGATTGTTGTTACACCAAAAAGTAAATTGGAAGTAGAACATTTCATGCTTGTCGGTTTGATTATGTAGCTGTCAGAATACCGCAATAAAGTTGTTGAAAAGAGGGAAGTCACCTACCTTACATTTTATGATCTTACTCATAAAACTTATTTTAGATACAGAAGATTTTGTATTAATTTTTACTACTACAAACATTATTTTTGTTTAGGTTAAATAGTACCTAAATAATACCAATGATTGTCATGAATGTCGTGGTTGCCCAGTGGTTTAAAAAGCCCGTTTTTCATGCATGAGAATGCTGATTTGGAACCTACCAACGGCAAGTACCACGATTTAATGACTGATGATGATACCAGTGATTTTGCCCGAGTTATATATAATTTTCTAAGATTATCTTGACACCACTGACAAACGGTGAAGGAAAACATCGTGAGGATACCTGGGCTTATAACTTATAATTATAAATTTGGAATTGCATACTCAAACCTTCTCCGTGCGAAAAGAACCTTTTGTCAGCAGTGACCACTTATTATAGGGTATTGAAGAATACCACCAGTGCACCTCTGCCTACCCTCTCGGGGATAAAAGGCGTGATGGTTATGTTTATGTTTATGTTGAAGAATACCAGTGATTTGTCAAAACAATACTCATAGTACACAATCATAGTTCAATCAGAGCTCGTTTAAAAATAGTTGACTTTTAAATTATACCAAAAGTAATTTTAATATTCTTTACATTTACGAAATGAAATAATACTTTGTAAGTCGAAAAATTTAATTAATCTTTTTTAACATTTCACATTAAGATGTCGTAATACCTACGTCATGATTAATTTTCAGCTTCACGTAATTCAATTTATTTTTCAATTAATCATAATAATTATTATGTTTGTAAAGTAATAAAATCTCCATTGATTCACCCTTGTTGAAAAATTAAAAAGCAGTCAAAATTACAAGTTAATTAAACCTCCAGCTGTTTTAATTGCTAATTCTTTGTAAAATAATGTTTTCTGTTGATAGACTGACATTTTGATTTGCGTATTATTTTATAGGCATTAAATTGGATGATTTTAAAATTTGCATTTTAAGAACATGTTGATTGAGCGTCGCGTCGTTTATTATTTTCAACATCATTTTTGACCTTCGTTATATAGATGTTTTTTTTTTGTTGTGTAGGGACATCAAGGTAAGTAGATCAAGGAAAAATGTTTACATACTTACACTCGTAAATCCATTTAAACAATAGTTCCAATAGTCCGCAATAAGTGCGAAGCTTTTAATATAGGTACTTATGGGATGGGTCAATGACTTTGTAGGTCATATCACATTTCAGTGTCAATTCAGCCTAGATTTGTACACAAAACATTTGTTGACATGAGAGGTGACATATCACCTGATGGCAAGCAATCGTCGCCGCTCATGGACACACAAAACACCACAGGTATTAGGTACATGTGCATTACCGTCCTTTTGACGATTAGAAATTTAGAGATTGTTGAGGATTCGGGGATTGGAAAGGGGGTGATTGGGCCTCCGGTAACCTCACTCACACGACAAAATACACGCAAGTGTTGTTTCACGTCGGTTGTCTGTGAGGCCGTGGTATCAATCCACTCAAACCGGCTCATTCGTGCCGAATCACGGCTTTCCCATACTTAAAATTAATAACATTACATTCATCATGATGACTATTTTGATTATAATGCTGATCAACAGACATACCAACTACATAAACAACACAGTTCACAATTAAAAGACGTCAAACTATCGGTTCTCCTTAAAAAGATTACAAACTTGTTCTTCTGTTTGTGTTTACCTACATCTCAAAACTATAATTGATGAAAAACAATTCTAATGGCTTAATTAATTAAACAAATGCTATTTTTATAATGTGCTGTGTTCTTAATATATTTGTAATAGGTACGTTTCTATAAATACATTATGTAGGTTGTTGATACCTACTACATTACCATTAGCAAAAATATTTAACGCCTATTAACATTAAAGATAAGGTGTTCGACATACAATTATACATAATAATATAAAGAAGGCATATTTTAAGGTATAATGTGTATTGATGCCAGAAGAGATAGAAAAGCAAAACCTTTTCAACACTAATATTTTATTTTAAAATCATGGTTTCTAGATTGATTTAGTTTTTTTTATTTCACTACATAAATATTTAAGTATCTACTATAACATAACATAATATCACGCCTTTTATCCCCGAAGGGGTAAGCACACAGAAGCAACACCTACTTTTCACTATTTATGTATGTAATGAGTCCCACGTAATAGGGAGTGAGCCTATTGCCATATACCGGGCACATTTCCAGACTCCGTGCTACTACTGAGATTTAAAAAAAATCCCAGTAATACTTTGCCCGACCCGGGAATCGAACCCGAGACACCTTGCCCGGTGGTCGCACTTACGACCACTCGGCCATCGAGGCAGTCTGTCTACCATGTGTTTAGATTATAGGATTCTACACGCATAGTGTGAAAGTGGAGATCCTATAGCTAAGACACCATAAATACATTAATTGTACATACGTTAAAGGATATGTTCTAATACTAGACATTACCTACCAATATAAATATTTAGGAAAAAGAAAAAACATTGTTATTGAGCAATCTTAAAACTTTAAAGTTAAGCATACATTTTGGAAGATGACTAGGTATATAATTCAATTTACAACCAAATTAATAACAGCTATACACCAACTTACATTTTTTTCTTCCCATACAGAACCGTTAACACACGTCAATTGTTGCTTGAAGCCATAATAACATTATACTTAACCTAATAAATCGTAAAAAGATCTACGCTTTGAAATCAAATCGTGCGCATCGGCTCAGAATATTCTACTCCAATAACATAAGTGCGATTGAATCATCTTAAAAGTAAAGGTTTCTTCGAATCGATATGGATTTATCAAAAGGTACTGACGCACTATCGAGGTCGCCTTTACAAGAGATATTTTACTCGACTCTTCCTGGATCAAACACTTTCAATGTTGTTGTAAATTCCACGTACCATCAATAAGTGACCTTCGAATAATGCTTCTGTTCTCCATTTGTTAGATTTAATTGATTTATTATACCACTAGTATTATATTCTAATTTTAATTTCGTTTTACAAAATCAATTTGTTCATCTTACGTCAGATTATTAGAATAAAGGATGAAATGATTATAAGGGCCCGACTATCAAATGATTAATGGCGCTTGTTAATTTGTCATTTATATTTTATAATAGTATCATTTATATAATAGTAGATTGATATATTTGTCATTTCCTTGTTCATTACAAGATCGTTTAACGGAGTAAATGTAATCATTTGTTATAACTTGAATAATTCACTGTCAATATTGATAAATTAACCCGTGAGTACACTGGTTATTGACGTCAAAAACCCTTTAACCTCTTGTTTTCCAAATAATAACAAAATGACAGTGCATAAAAAGGCAAAATCAACTTTCCAGTCGCATAACTTTACTGTCCTCTGAACCGGAAAAAATATTTGCTTTTTATTGGCTGCTGCTTTTTAATATTTCTAGGTTTCAATTTAGTCACGTCATTAATTAAATCGACGACGCCTGAACATGCTAATTTTAGATCATAATTGATTCAATTTAATCAAAAACATTAAAAAATGAACTGGTTTTGATGGAATGTGGAATATTTTACGCTTCCAATATGTCACAAAACTAACCAGTCCACGGAATCGTTTCTAACGTTTACTTCTTTAGCAGGGTGCAAGTATAAGGCAGCGATATTTATGCGCACACGGCGCGCCGCGGTTTCGTTGGCGCCTGCGCGAGACGCCAGCCGCGGCCGACGCCTTCGCGACATCCGCCCGCGAACCAAAATTAATAGCCGGTGCATTCCAAACATTCTTACAGATTCCTGTTCTCGGTAATGGACCGCGATCGAACTCTTTTTGGAGACGATGCCGGATCCGCGCATTAACTCCGATCGAATGCTGAAATTTGCAAAGCCGTAATAGTGATTTTATTTGAACGTTTTAATATCCGATCGTTTGTGAACATTTCTGAAATATCGAATACCGTTACGATTTCGATTATTGTTTATGATCTTCATTTACTCGAATCGTGCAGCGAATATGGATGCATCCATATTATTATCAGGAATATGACGTGTTCATCGAAAATTGTTTCTAAATTTGGAGAATTTACAACAAGGCGTGAATTTTGCCGGATAGTTTATCGGTAGTGGTGTATCACCGGTTTGTGGTCAACGGAACGGATCGTTATGTGGGATACAATCGACAATAGTTAACGGTGTAACACCTCTTCTGTGGGCAAAGATCAAGAGAACCTATATCACCAGAACATAACGGTGAGATCCTCTATCAACTGTGTCAAGTTGAACAATACCCAGTTTTTGCTGACGGACACATATTAATGTGCCCGATTTATTACAACCAACTAATAGGCCATTTATTTTTTGTCTAAAAAGCTAGAATTCCTTATCTATTGTTTGAATTATGACGATTTTCTGAATCATTGAGATCGTCAGGTCATCGTATTGGCTATACAGTTATGCGTCCAAAATTAAAATATCAATCATACGTATTTATAATTTATTGTGTTTGAATGAGCGATAATTATAAGGTTGAACCTTCGTTGCTAACAGTAAACATTGATTAACGCACCATTCGTTGCGAGTGTACATTTTATTGACCAACATAATTCACTAAAGGCTTGGATTAGTCAAGTGAGTGAGATATCAATCATTGATTCCGTGTCAGATGGGAAAAAATATTAATCGGTTTGTTGTTCTAAGTTCATGTTCATTTTTTGACATCGATATTCCTTGCACCGGGCTGTGGACCCGTTATGTGTTAATGTACCAAAGTGAGGCAGAGTTTCTTAAGTATTTTCGATCTGAGAAGATCGGATAATAAAATGCATTCGTGTACAGTGACTAATGACTTCAAGTCCAAATAAGAAATGCGGCCATAATATCTTAAATCCATGTAGTCTAACGTCCTACTCGCGGCTGCTAAAAATAATAAAATAGGTAAATTTATTCGAAGTTTCTTTGATTATAAATGACGATCTTGATGAACTTTGATTTGAAGCTCTCAGAGCTGGAATTTTGTATATTTTTACATTTTACTTTCTTTAGCATAACTTGAGATTACCTACTAAGTTTTTTTAAATTAAAATACACATTAGCAAAATAACAGAAGGAATCTATGTTGACAAAATTTCATGCGTATGTCCTCCTTTTAGAATTTAAGAAAAATTGTTATAATGATAAAGTCCGCCGCTACAATAATGATGTGCACATCACATATCGATAAAGTTACAACCTTACAATAACATTGAAACTCTGATATCGATAACACATTTCTAGAAACATCTTTGATGTTACAAACATGTCTAAAATCTATTTATTTTATAATAATAGTATTGCTAACAGATGTATCTCATAATATTGTAACAATACACGTCAATAGTCAGATCAAAATAGTTAGGTTACAATGAAAAGCAGTGCTTAGAACCTAGACTATAGATTGAAAGGTCTAGGTCATTAGACGAACAAGCAATTATGACTGCAGCGCATATTACTGTTCTATTTTCGACACATTTGTTTATAAAATAAAAATAGTTTAAATATTAGTAGTCGGTCAGACGTTTGACCTTATTGTTTACAATATTGTACCGACTTTTATTCCATAAAGGGGTAGATGTACCTACATAATACCCGGTACACATCTTACGACCTAACTGTTCAGTTTTAACTGTACAACTCGAACTGTATAGTACAGTCGAACTGTACAGTGACGACACTAAATACAATATACATAATCTGTAGACACTTTGCTAGACTGTTTATTATTTCGTGGTGGCCCGGAGGTTTAAGAGGCTCGCTTCTCATGCACGAGGACGCGGGTTTGAAACCTACCAACACCAAGTACCAATATGACTTTTTCCAAATTAAGTATACTTTCTAAAATTATTTAGACACAACTGACAAACGGTGAAAGAAAACATCGTGAGGAAACCTGGACTTATAATTTTTCATTGTAAGTTTAAAATCACCAACCCGCATTGAGCAATCGTGGTGATTAATGCTCAAACCTTCTCCGTGTGAGAAGAGGTTTTGCTAAGTAGTGGGCATTTATAGGCTGTCGATGTATGTATTTATGTATGATAAGGTAAAATTAATTAAGTTCAAAAATTTTGCGATCTAAGTAAATAAAAAATAAACTAGATTGTTGTTTTTCTGATATAGATTAACAAAATTTTCCGTAATTCAAGAAACTTGTGCGATTTAACCTTTACAGTACAGGATGTTTCAAAATACGAGTAATCTAGTTTTCTCAGCATCTATTAATTGATGAATTAATCAATATTGAAATAAAAATCTTCCTATATTTGTGACTGACACTGACAGACAACGCACAGTTGAAACTTCTGATCACAGAAAGTCGAAGGTCACAATGTATGTATATTATGTTCTTGGGGTGTTTTTTCTTTTTGGTATAGGAGGCAAATGAACAAACGGATCACTTAATATTAAGCGATTATTCGAAACACCAGAGGAGACTCAAGTGCGTTGCCGGTCCTTTAATAGGAATACGCTGTTCTAAGTGTCTGTAAACTGAAATGGTCAAGAAAGAATTTCTTGTA